AAATTGCATATATATTCTACTAATTTTAATATTCTAATAAGTCACTGTGGATAAACATACAATACCATTCAAAAAAATTTTTTTATGTTTTTGAAAGAAGTCTCTTATATTCACCAAGGCTGCATTTATTTGATCAAAAATACAGTAATATTGTGAAATATTATAAATGATATCTTTTTTCTGGACTTGATAAATAGACAGTTCAAAAGAACAACCTTTGTTTGAAATATACATATTACTGTTACTTTTGATTAATTTAATGCATTCTTGCTGAATAAGTTTTTTAAAAAAAGTTTTAATTTAAATTAAAAATAAAAAAAAAACTCCTTGGCCCCAGACTTTATAACATTAGTGTATTACTATAGTGTGAAGAATAATATACAACTTCAAAACCCCAACCTTGCTGATGGTGCCATACTGTTTTTTATATTTTTTGCTCCATGGCGTGCCGGTTTTATTCATCAGCTTTTGGCCCAGCTGGTCTACAAGCACACATTTTGACTCCTCCTAACAAAAAAACAAGTGAAAATCAGCATGTGAAATTTTATGCCCAGTTATGCCCAATATTTATTACAGTTGTCCTGCATTTCAAAACATAGAATATGTCCATAATTTCTCTTCACTGATCTGTGAACTAAATAAAATGACATTTTCTTGATTCAAATGAGGGTTCATCGTTCTATACGCTAAATAACTGCAACAAATCAAAAAGTGCTAATAATATCTCAAACATCTACTTACAGTCCTGCATAACTGTAGAGTTTAATGGTGTAACGGCGTACCTGAGCCAGAATGCCAGTAAGTACAGAGAGAGGATCCTCTGCATCAACAGAATTTTCACACTCTTTCTTTCTTTCTCCGACTTTGTCCTCTCGTTTCTGGGTTTTCAGCTTCACTTTTACCTCTTCCTCCTAAGAAAAAAAAAAAAAACACAAATAGAAATTACTTGTCATCGAACCATACATAGACACTGCAATAAAAAACAAATGACTAACCGGTGCCTCCCAGTAGCCGAGCTGATCGATGTCTTTGATGTAGACATGATAATGACCTCCATAACAACCTCCTTTATGTATGATGATGGAGAAGAGCTCGTACGAATACTCTGAGTCTGGCCAATCGTTCTGTCAGAAGCACAACACATGTTAATCCTCTGCTTTGAAATTGAGTTGCTGTGGTCATTTTAGCTCTCCCTCTAGACCTGTGCTTCTAGTTTACTAGCGATTAAAAAGTTAGTCTCTGCTTGATGAATCTGGGATAACAATCTAAAGGTTCTCAACAGCTGCTAACAGGATGGTAACTCTGATCCTGCAGTGCATTCTACAAAACATTACCAGATATCATACTCTGTTCAGTGTAGAATCTTCACTAATAACACAGATTGATCTTACTTGGCTGGAGAGTTTGGAAAATGTATTTGCGTGTGATTCGGCTCTGGTACCTGCTCACAAAATGGTCTGAGGTTAAATGTAAGAGGAAAAGCGTAGCTCCCGGTCTCTTTGTAGCGCTCACACTTGGCAAAGTCAAAGTTGAACCTCAACAAGGAAATGGTCAGGAATGGTGGAAGTTTTCTCAGTTTTGCAGACTGCAACAAAAGACAAAATTAAGAAGTTTTATAACCAACTACAGTCGCCTCATCTGAATTAGAATCTAGAATAACGGCTTAGTGCCAGTCACATGTTAATAGGGATCATGTAACATGAGGAATCAAATTTCCTTGACCCATAACTATATCTATAGAATCCTGAAAAAAAATGCAACATGGTTTTCACAAAAATATTAAGCACAACTTTAATAAGATATGTTTCTCGAGCACCAAATCAGCAAATTGGAATTATTTCTGAAGGATCATGTGACACTGAAGACTGGAATAATGATGCTGAAAATTCAGCTTTACCATCACATGGAAAAATTACATTTTACATTATATTAAAATAGAAAACAGTTATTTTAAATTGTAACAATAATTCAAAACATTATTGTTTTTACTGTATCTCTAATGAGTTAAATGCAGCCTTGGTGAGCATAAAAGAGGCAACTCAAAAACATGAAAAAAATCTTACAGACCTTATACTTTTGAACAGTAGTATACCTCAGGGTAAATAATGAAAAATAAAAATGACATGACCCCTTTAAATAAATATCTAATTGGAGATCTCCATGAAAATCTCCATTGTGTAAGGCCTCGAAGGACAAATTAACAGTATTAACTCAGATAAAAAGAGTTTGAGTTCTGAGAAGTGACTGACCTTAGCGGCCCTAACCAGCTGGTCACATCTGCTGCAGCGGTACAGATTGTTACCCTCAAACATCTCCTCCTCCACAAACATGTTCCACAGCGCCTCCTCTAGGCCACTTACACCACGCACTGATACGGTCAAGTCCAGAAAGTCCTCCTGAGAGAACAGAAAGATAGTGAGATGCATATATACACAACTGTTGAAAAGTTTGGGGGCAGTAAGTGTCTTTTATGCTCATCGAGGCATTTATTTTAAAAACAATAAAGTAAAAACAGTAATAATGTGAAATATTTTCTATTTTAATATATTTTAAAATGTAATTTTTTTCTGTGATAGCAAGGAAGTTAAAACATCAGTGTCATATGATCCTTCAGAAATCATTCTAATATGCTGATATGGTGTTATAAAAACATTTCAATATTGAAAAAAGCTGTTTTGGTTGAAAACAGCATTTATTTCAAATTTAAATCAATTGTAACATGTCTTTACTGTGACTTTTGGTCAAATGAATGTGTCTTTGCTAAATCAAATTATTAATTTCTTTCACATGGTGTATCATAAATAATAAATATGCACTGTTTTTGTGCTGGTTATATTTAAAGTTGTCACAAATTGGACCGCTGGAAGCAAAAATAAGTAGAGAAACACAGGAGGGAGCATTCTCCTTTCTGACCTGTCTCTCACTAATATTGCCGCACTCTTTGCAGGTGATCTGGTTGACAAGCGTCCCATGGTACAGCCGGTGTATGAGACTGCTGCCTGAAGTGCCTACTAATGAGCTCTCCAGAGCACTGAACAGGATCCGGTTCAGCTCCTGTACATCCTGCTGACCCATTTCCTAAAGACAAAATCAAAACAGAAGATGAAAGATTTTAACAAGCTGCTTGATCATTTCAGTTTAACTTTTACCAAACTCTTTATGTGGAAACTGTTTGTTTTCCAAGCCACTGTTTGATCTACAAATACACATTTTGACTCCTCAAACCAGAGTAAAGCTCTGGAGGAGGAAGGAAGAAGGGGGAATTTCTTAAAGGTGTAGTAGCAAAATTAACGGCTCCTAATTTTGCTTTGAGCAAGATCATTCAGTTGCATCACAGATGCTATTACCCAAAGTGACCCATGCGACCCTGGGGAACCATTTAACCCCAGATTACAAAGGGTCTGTCTTTGCAATCAGTCAGTGTTAGATGAAACATACCTGCTAAATGGACAGTAAGTAAAGATCACAAAGACTTTGTACCTCATTGTTCGTCCAGCCAAAACTGTCCGTCAGATCTGATGTGGAGGCTGTTTTTTCATCCACCAACAACAGATGAGAAAACAGTCTCTGAAGCTCCAGAGGAATCACACGGACCTGAGATCACACAGAACAAGAAACATCTATTCATCTGGTCCTCTGAAACACTTATAGAGCCTTCTGTTCATCCCTCTCTTACACACATTCATACACACCTTTGCCTCTGGTTTGTCCTTGTCAGCCAGACATCCTAATTCATCCGGTCCGAGATGGAACAGCTCCCCTGCAAGAGATGATTTTATGCAATAACACCATAAAAAATAAATTCACCCCAAAATGAAAAATCTGTCATTCTCATGTTGTCCCAACACTGTATGGCTTTGGTTTTTACAAAGAATGCAAAAACCTGATGTTTTTTAAGTGTATATCTTGGTCACTCCATCCATATAAAGTGAATCAGGAATTGGGCTGTCAAGCTTCAAATTTACAGAAAAGTAATTATAAAAGAATAAAAAGTGGCTCATATGACCCTACGCTATATTCAAGTCTTTTGAATTCTGAATTTATCAGGATCTTCGTTGGACAAACAAGCCAAAATCGCTAATAGAAATCTTAAAGGGGTCATATGATGCTTTTTTAAAGATCATTATTTTGTGTATTTGGTGTAACAGAATATGTTGACATGCTTTAATGTTCAAAAAACACATTATTTTTCAACATTTGGGCGGCATTATGCTAATATTTCCACATAGTGAGGTAGATATGTGGGGGCGTGTTAGAACGAGCCGTTTTAGGGGGGCATGGCAGAGTCTTAACTTTTATAAAGAATATCTCTTTGGTTTTGAGACTTTAGTCTTTGCAACTTCAGGGATCTTATCTATGCACAATCAGCTTGTAACACTCCAAAGAGAAAGGAAAACTTGAAATCGCATCATATGACCCCTTTAAGAGTTGAACTCGAATCCGATTCGCTGGATCAACCGATTGAATGAATTCACGCATTGAGTCGCTACGTCTCTCATGAACGTTAACCCTAGAAATTCAGACTTTATTTTGGCGTTTTGGAGCTTGATAGAACCAGTCCTCGTTAACTTACATTATATGTAGTGATGAACCAACTGCAATTGAACCAGTTGCTTCGAAATTGATTCACACACCCACTGGTCGAAACTTGTCTAGCTTCGAATTGATTCGAATCAAAAGATTCATAAAAGTTCGAAGCTTCATCAAGCAGAGTTTTCGAAAGCGCTCATAACGAATGATTAGAGAGGCCAGAATACTCTTCAGAAGTAAGTAAATGATGACAGAATGTTAATTTTTGACAAACTAATTATTGAAATAGTGATGAAATATCAGAATGTCCTTTTCAGCCTATCTTACCCCTAAACTCTGGGGTGAAGAGTAGAGTCTGGATCAGGGAGTTGAGGTAACAGGTGCCACCCTGATTCTTGATCCCGCAGAGTTTGAGTTTCCCTCTGGGTGGTGGAGGCTCACACTCTCTCCCCTTCACACCTGTGCCAGGTGTAGAGGAGGAAAAGCCATCCCCGTCCTCCTCAAACAGATCTCCAAACATGACCGCTGCTGCCTTGTAAAGCTTAGTCTTGGTAAACCTCCCGTTCTTCAGTGAACCGAGATTCGTTTACTGTGAAAGGAAAGCGTTTCACCTCTTGCTATCTCATCTTTGTCTTCCCCAGCTCCCGATTAACAATCAATGGGCTCACCCTGGAATACGACGACTTAACAGGACTAAACATCGCCTTTATAAACCAAAAGAACTAAACTTATCGCCCCGTTTAAGTGTCGTGACGTTCCTCTGGATGAATCACAGGTGTCGCCTGTAAATCTCAGTCTTTAAAACGCAAAGTGGAAATCTGAGAGGCGACTGCACTGCTTCCATATTTCACCATTGAGATATAAAAGAACAATCATTTTTCGTTGACAGCCGCAGTATTTCTTTCGTTTTATTAGACCGCTAACGTATTCAATAAATAGCCTTTTTAAACTCGTTTCATTCGAATTCGTGCAGTCTGTTAGTAGTAATAATGGAAGAATTGAAATATGAGTAGAAAACCATTAGTGTTCTGAGGACGCAGCCATGTTTGCTTGATGACACGTAGAGCCGCTATGCATTGTGGTACTTGTAGTTCTCCATGATAACGGCCCTCCTTCTTGCAAGTGATCTTATTTAGCTAAGAAGAACTACATATTTCCGATCATCTGGCTGTTCCTTGGCTTAATGGGTTCTGTAGTTTAAAAATGACATTTATATAATAAATCCGTTTTACACAAATCATTTTAATATATGTAAATTATATTGAAACATGAACATTGATAAAACAGCTATAGCTGTCAATTTATTAGATCAATTTAGGTGCAAAGAACAAGAGGTAAAATACAAATATTTTACATATAAATAATATTATTTATTACATTATTTCACATTATTGATATAGTATTTATTAAACATTGTATGCCACTTTCCACAAATGAGTGTACCCTATTTTTAGAGAGTGTATGTTGTAAATAAAAGTTATTAAAAGTTACACAGAGCCTAAATGTTCAGTGCCCTCATTTCACTTTCTGTATTCACAGATGTCCAGTGTGCACAGATGTTAACTTCTTGAAACAGAATAGTCTTTGCTCAACCACAATGTAATTGAAACTGAGCTGTTTTGAGGACACATTTGAGAGAGTCGCCACTGAAAGTCTCTCTTGCATCTTGACAGTCCTTTTTATGCAGATGAGTAGTTTACAGGAAGTATGAAACTCTATATTCCACCACCGTCAGCTTGATTGACTTCTCTGACATTAAAGAGTTTCTCATCAAAGTGTTAGTCGAGGCGGAAGTCAAGAGTGGAAGAGAACGATTCAGTTCTATCAACTTCTGTGGCATGTGGTAAAAATAAGCAAAAACTGAACTATTGTTTGTGCCCTCAGTGGATCCTGAGCTTGAAGACTTTGGAGAGAGGTGTTTTGGCACTGGAGTACATCAGGTATGAACCCTCTGCTGAGGTAAAGAACTCCCAGTCACTGCATCCAATAGTAGGCAACCAATGGACAGGAACAAAGCCCTCATATCCCTGCCATCTATCAGGGACAAAAACAATCAAACTGAAGAAGAAATCTATCTTCATTTGCTGCAATATTCATTATAGTTTTTAGCACTGTTATACTGTAATCTTATTCTACATGGAAGCCCATTTCTTCCTCAGAATAAAATAAAAATAAATAAAAAGGTCATTTTTTTAATAATTCATAATTATGATTTTTTTTTCTTGCGATTCTGACTATATTTCTTTTTGGACTTTTTTCCCCCTCCGAATTATAAAAAAAAAGCCAGAATTGTGAGATATAAACTCGCAGTTGTGAGAAAAATGTCAGAATTGTGAGATCATTTAATTTTTTTTTTTTTTAGAATTGTTATTTATACCGTGATGGAAACACAAATAATAATAATAAAACAATTGTGAATTGTAAACTCAGAATTGTGGAAAAAGTCAGTCAGAATTCTGTTTGCATATCTTGTAATAACTCAATTGTAAGATATTAATTTTGAGAAAAATTACCTTTTCTCAATTTTTTTAAATCCAAGGTAAAAATGGGCTTCCATATTATCCTGATAATATTTGAGAAAATAGCAATTGAACACCATTTACAGATAAGTCTTATCCTATAGGCTTAGTTGTTGTATATCAGAAAATCAGATTTTTTTTTAAGTGATACCATGACTTTTATATAGGTTTACTTATCTCTTACATTAAAGTGTGGAAGGAAGGATGAGATAGAAAAAAGTAATATCTTCCCAAATGTACTGTATAATATTTGAAATATACAGTACACTATACAGTACAGTATGGTTTTTGCCCAGTTTTTTCCCACGATTTACAATCAGGAAGGGTTCACTCTAGTTCCCGAAGTCATAGCCTGTCTGCCAATTTTGTGCAGTTAAGAGATTTTCACAGAAAATTAGATTTTAAAAGTTGTACATGTGGTATCAACACAAACACCTGTCTTGTTCACTAACCACCCGCAATGCAGTTTACCCATCTGAAGTGGAATGGCAGAGGATTCCCAAATCCAGGTGTGAAAAACTTGTTGTATCTTTCCCAAAAAGACTCATGGCTTTATTAGATCAAAAGGGTGCTTCTACTATATACTGAGCAAAGGGTCTGAATACTTAGGACCATGTGATATTTCAGTTTTTCTTTTTTAATAAATCTGCAAAAATGTCAACAATTCTGTGTTTTTCTGTCAATATGGGGTGCTGTGTGTACATTAATGAGGAAAAAAATTAACTTAAATGATTTTAGCAAATGGCTGCAATATAACAAAGAGTGAAAAATGTAAGGGGGTCTGAATACTTTCCGTACCCACTGTACATAGACTATATCTTATCTTTCCTTTAAAGGTGCGGTATGTAAGTTTTTGACTCTACTAAAGCATAATAATACCATAAAATACCATGCTTAGTTAACATACTTGTTTATCTGAAAAACAATGCTACAGTCATTTATTCTCCTTTGAAAATGTGTGTTCCGGGCCGGAATGTCGGTCTCTGTTTTGGTTTGTGAAACCCGCCCACTGCCAGTTTGCCCGATTGTATTTCGGCACCCCGGGTTGCCAGTTGGCAGAAAACACAGCTATTTCATTTCATTCATCGTCAAGTGCGCTCGTTCCTGTTGGTGTCGTCAATCTGGCAACCTGCGTGTGCGTCAAGTCTGAGGAGGAGGGGCCGGGTGAAAAAAACCCTCTCCAATATTTTGAATTTGTAATAATGTAACTGCAATACCTAGTTCAACCACTTTTACAGTGGTTAAAGCTATACTTAAACAACCCCAGCAATACTACATGTCCCAAGGAGATTCTGTGAGAACAGGTGTCGGGTAACTTTAAAATAACATGCTGCAACTGCTAAACACCTACATGAGTCCATCATTCATCGTTTTTTCATTTGTTATGATTTTCCACTTCATTTACCTGCAATATAATTCTTATTGTGCAACTGGGGATAGAAATGTACCCCATTTACCCCAGTGTTTCCATTCAAATTAAATAAGTTCTAGATGATCATCAAGTTTCAGAATGAGCCACTTGATTTTAAGCCATCAGAAAGTTCCAGTGCCTCGTGTCCATCACAGGCATTTTGAAATGACATGCTTTCTAAACTCACCCTTATAGTCTGAAAAAGCTGAAAAGCTCCACCAAGCCAGATGTAGATGGATGAATCTGTTTGGGTGGAGGTGCCATCAAATGCATTGGCCACTGCTAGGAAGTGGTAGGGCCCTACGGTGAAAAATTCCCAGTCATAAGCTCCTGATGTCGAGATGGTTTGGTTCACCTCAAACGTCTTGGTGCCTGGGTTCCACTTATAAACAACGCTGTCAATGTTGTGATTGCCATTCTCTAAAAGGGATGACGGGAACATAATGTAAGGGTTATAATATTATAATAAATGTAACTACTGGCACCTATTTTGAGAGCAGTAACAAAATGAAATGCTGATAAAAAATCTACTGAACTGCACCAGAGGCTCCAAATTTATCAGTCCATACACTACCAATCGAAAGTGTTAATTTATGAATTTGAAATAAGTCTCTTATGCTAACCAAGAGTGCATTTATTTGATCACAAATAGAGTAGTTTTAGAGGAAAAAAGTGTAACTGTACAGATTTAACAGCAAGATATAAATGAGTTTTTGAGAAAAAAAAATTAGAATTGTGAGATACAGACTCGTGCGGTTTCACTTTTACATCTAACAATTTATATTTTTTTATATCTCGCAATTTTTTATATCTCAAATTTTTTCCCCTCAGAAATCTGAGTTTACATCTCACAACTGTCTTTTATTCCACCATGAAATAAAAAAGGTAATTGTGTTTTTTATTAAATCTCACAATTCTGAGAATTGCGTGTTTATATTTAATTCTAAGTTTAAATGTCACAATTATATATTTATTCCTAATTACAAGAAAAAAGTCAAAGTATAGTGAAATATAAATTCAGAATTGAGAGATAAATAGTCGCAATTACTTTTATTTTTTTATTTTTTTTCCATGGCAGAAATGGGCTTCCATAGAATTGCGAGATGCAAACTCAGAATTCAGAGGAAATAAGTCAGAATTGTGATATATAAACACAGAATTGCGAGATGTAAACTTGGAATTGCGAGGCAAAGTCAGAATTCAGAAGTCAGAGTTTATATAAAATTGCGAGACAAATGTCAGAATTGTGAGATAAAAAGTCGCAATTACTTATTTAATTTTTTTTATTCTGTGTCGGAACAGGCTTCCATACAATATTCGTTCATTGTATGGCAAACGTATCTTCAAATGTCAAATATTTTGTGATGAACAGATCAAAGAAAGTCATATGGGCTTGGAAAGACATGATGCTGCTGAGTATGAATTTATATTTTTCGGTCAGCATTTATGGAGTGGGGTGAACTGAGAACCATTAAACAGTATTCTAGGACAGTTATGTATAAGCCTAGCTAGGCACCGAGGAAACACTTGGTTCAGCCCCAGTGCACCATTGTTGGACCAACCTGTTCTGTGATTAGCCACAGCTAAAAAAGCTTCATTATTAATATGAAAGGCCTCCCAGTCACGAGCGCTGTGTGTCTCCAGGGTCTGATAACGCACAAACTTCAGCCTCTTATTACTCCACCGATAGATCACAGACAGCTCTCGCTCTCCGTCCGCTGGGCCCACGGAGTTCGACACCGCCAAGAACATCTGGCACACATACAACACACACAGTGATAAATGAGCCTGATACAGACAAACAGAGATAGAGTTACGCTTATCAGTCAGCCCGTCATTTGGCTATCATGAATCCAGCTCACTAAATTTAGAACAGTGTGAAGATCAGGTGGTAGATATATAGTCTAGTATGAGTCATAATTTCACTCAGCCGAAGAGTTTAGTGACGCTTTAACTGATATAAATACAAACTCTGTGATATAATGATGATGATTATAGTCGTAAGGGGCTGCAGGTTTCAACAAAGAACTTTTATTGCTTCCTATTCTTTATAATTCAAGATCTGTGTGATATCAATTAAGACTAAACAATTCCACTGCAGACAGACAGACGTGTAAATATGATTCATTCAGGGAAGGGAATTTCTGTGATTGACTACACTAGTGATTTAAAGTTATTGCATACGTTTGTACTGAGTGTAAGAAACACCACATCAAAACACACCTGTCTCCTGCAGTGCAGTGTAAAGTCTGTTCTCTGTGGCTCTATGCATGATTGAGTGGAAAACATGCAGATCACACACATGGTACTGAACTATGTCTAGTGTATCTGTTAATCCAGTCACAGTTCTTACTGCCTCACCTCAGGCTTTTTCTGCCAGTAATTCTTTCCTAATGAAATGCCAATCATTGCTCACTACAGCTGCACTGTACAACCTTTGCCTGTTTAACAGTTTCGATGTCACTGATGTGACCCTTTTTTTAAGACTGTGACTTCAATAAACATTTTACGTTTTCAAATTCTTAATTAAAATTAATGAAGATATTTTTAAAATGATTGTTTTTTTAATATACTGTATATATTTTGAACTATTATTTTCTGAATTATGATAATTTTTCTGTTCTATCAAGTTTTGTTCTTTTTTTTAATAAGAGACAATTATTATTAAAACAGATAAAAATGTCAAACTTTCAGCAATATACAGACCTTTTACAGTTTCAATTTCATTCAAATGAATGTTTAAACAAAAATGTCTATGTGATATAACTGAAAAATGTAAATGCTGAAATTCTTGGAAAATAAAGAAATGACTAAATAAATATTACTAATATTTGAAAAACCTTAGTCACCAAATCGAAATCAGTACAGCGATTTTGATTTGGCAGACTAATATCTTCTAATATCTTCTTTTTACATATTAGACACTTAGACACTCACAATTTTTTTAAAAAATCTGATTAACTTGAAATTATAATTATGTGTAAAGTCAATATTCATGGTGTTTGGAAAATTTTTACTTGACAGCTGCGCCACTTAAAAGTTTTAGACTTTTCTCACCTTCCGCCCTACAGTGAATTGCTTCCATGCCTGGGCTTTAAAGGTGCTGATGTTCTGGTAGAGCTGGAAGTGGCCGTGGTTCCAGCGGTAGATGGCAGAGCCCGGTTTGTTAGCCCGATGAGCCATAGCAGCAAACAGCCCAACAGAGGGGATCTGGAAGAGCTCAATGTCCAGAGTCTCTGAGGTAGTGTAGAGGTCCTGGTAATCATCTACATAGTCTAGTCTGTCTTTCTCTGTAGATTGAATAGCATTAAAAAGAGTTGCTGAGACTTCAGCTGCCATAGTTCAAACAAAAACGTGTCCAAAAGGCATTACCAGGATTTTTCATGGTAATCATAAAACACCATGGTATTACCCTCTGATATCACCACCATTGCGACAGTACTTTTTGGTAAAGGTGCTGATCCAGTATGCATATGGTTAAGAATGATTATTAGATATGAGATTTATATGAATATTGCATGTTATTAAAGGTAAATGTAACATGATTTTCTAAATTAAAATGGCAGACTCTAGCAGTTGTGTGATTGTTTAGACTGTCACAGAAACTCTATCGTAGACCTCTATGTATAAAGTGTTGATACAGTATGTATAAAGATATACTGTATATCCAAATATCCAACTTTATTCGCATACATACAGTAAACTCACGTAAAGCCAAAGTATATCGAACTAGCCTACCCGTGATATATTATATAGCTTATCTCAACTGCTTTTTTCTTTATGTTGTCGCAAAATATATATACTATATTATGCCCAGCTCTAATCTGATAAATGTGACTATAAGGCATGAAGATATTTATATATTGCAAACATTAACAAAATGATTTTCGCTAAAGCTACTTTGAAACAATGTGTTTGTGAAAAGCACTATATCAAGAAATTCGTATAATTTACAGTGAATAACCGTAAATTGACATTCCCAGAATTCCCTGCGTTACATTTCAAATTTGATGTTTTTTTGTTGAAATAACTATGTTTCTTCTTAGTTTTTTCTTATCAGTTTTGTATATTAGGGTTGTGTGTTACACCTAATGTTGTTAAATGAATGTTTATTGCATTATTTCAGTTTCATGTGTGTTACCATGATGGTGTTTAGCATTTGTGTTAATGACACTGTGTACCTTCTATATATGTTATTATTTAAAAGCTGCTTGTGATGGGCTTTGGTTCATCATGTGACTTTCTCATCACCACCAGCATTTGGTGGTTATCAGTGTATTACAAAGGTACAAAACAGATTTCAGTACTTCAGTAGGTTGGTATATTAACATTATATCAGTTAATGAAATTATGGTATTTAACTGTAAATTTAATTTAAAACCGTAAAACCTAAAACATTGCTATCGTATTTTTTACAGTAAAATTCCGGCAACCACAGCTGCCATTTTTTTACCATAAATTTTACAGTGTATGGTTAGCATATATTTAAATAAAAAATAGTGTAGAATAATTTTTTCAAAATATTTTTTCTTCAAAATATCTTCATTTATATTCCACACAATGAAAGTCAATGGGAACTGAACAATCAAATGTAAGACAACGTAAACTATCCTCTCTCTCTGAACTCAATATATGCTAACTATATGTCGTAAACAGTGACGCTCAATTAAACATATTTTTGGAAATTTAGAATATATCTAGTTTCAACCTTCATTTACCAAAAAATCTTTCAAGAGGCAAGAAAATACATTTCCAGCAGTTTTACAGTAGCCTACATTTATGTGTAATATGTTCACACATGTTATAGACAAGTTTTTCTTCTAATTTGACACATTCAGTGTTATTTTAGTATCATTGTGAATTTGAGATATTAAATTTCAATTTTAGTCATTTTAGTTTTAGTTATTTTAGTACAAGCTAAAGGTGACATATCATGAAAATCGGACTTTTCCACTTTCTTAATTTCCAAACTACAAATAAATGTGTATATGCTTCAAATGAGAACACACACACACACTGATGGCAAAGAGATGTCATCTATAGATGTTCGGTGACAGGACTGCAATTCCCTATACATTCTCAACATTCTTTGGTTCATCCACATTATTGTGGTATTTACAGCTTCTATTGTAATAACAGTCCTTCAACCGAGCTCATTGCCCTAATTATGGACCATTTAGATGGTTTGTTCTTGACATACAAAAGTAATATTTTAAAATACAACTTAAGGAATTTACTTTGGTAATTCTTTTTCATATTGACATTTTTCATTTTCTCATTTCTTTTGCATTGGTATCTAATGTAATTGCCTTTGTGGTATGAAAAGGGGAGAATTTAAGCCCCAGGGATGTTGCCGGGTTTGGGAAGAGTTTCCCATTTTTCCATTTTAGAGACCAAGCCGTGAATCAGCATGACAACATGGATATGCCACCAGTCTTGTGTAGCTGCCCATCATTCATAGTGAAAGCATTTGTGTGGCACAGATTTCACAAATTAGTAGGGATAGTTCACCCAAAAATTTATTTCTGTCATCATTTTCTTACCCTTAGTTGTTCCAAAAACAAAAGATATTTTGAAGAGTGTTGGTAACTCAGCAGTTTCTGTTCCCTATTGACTTTTTCCACACTTTGGAAGTCAGTGGGGACCAGCAATTGTGTGATTACCAACATTTTCAAAATATATTCTTTCATGTTCAGCAAATGAAAGAAAGTCATAAAGGTTTGGAAAAAAATTGAGGGTGAGTAAATGATGACAGAACTTTTATTTTTGGGTGAACTATCCCTTTAAGTGACATTCTGGTGGTCTGTGTGATGCATGCCTACCATGTTTTTAATTAGAGTGTGTGATAATAACAAATCAGACTTTATTGTGTGAAAATGAAATATAATTTTTTACCAATATTGTGACTACCCTGCAGTGTCATTTCCACCATAACAAGCAGTTGTCCCTAATAAAGTCTGATAAAGTGGCTACCAAGGACACTACCATGTCAATGAAATAAATTCTCAAGAGAAATATGAAACACAAGATGTGTGAGAAAACTAAATATCTAGGTTTTCTTTTCACATGTCATTTCCAATTGACCTATAATGTTGTAATTATGTGAAAAGTGTAAAAATATCATCTAATTGGGTGTGATTAGGATAAATAAAATTCTAGCTGTAAAAGTAGTCTAGTAGTTTTCGTCCAAAACAGTTAGAATTTTTGTTACAATTTCCATAATAATTTTCACCACAATTGTGACTGAAATGGGGGAAATTAGTCCATATTTGAAGAACAACTTTTCTATACACACAATACACACTCAGATTGAGGGTTTAGTTTCATTCAAGATCTTTACAGTTTGGACCTGATCTAATCTGAAGAATTTTTTTAACGAAGGAAGTCAGTGTATACTGATAGAGAGCTAAACATTTTAGTACCAGGGTCATACAACACAGAGAACGCAAATCAACCTTATTCACCTATTGCATTAAAATACTGTTTATTAGAGAGCAAATAAGTAGGGTTATGTGCGGTATCTCACCTGTACAGGGTTTCCATGGCACTACGGTCACACTTTCTGTCAGTGGCAGAAGAAGCAGAAACAACTGCAGTGCAAGTAGGGAGGATAAGGATGGTACCAAATTATGCTGTCCTTCCATTAGATGTTGATTTGTCAATAAAAATGTCCTTACAAACTTTTGATTGCCCACAAAAAAGTCCAAAACATGAAATTCAGAAAGTTGTCTGCTGGTCAAGATGCCTTTATGTCCTGTATTCTTTGTTCCTTGAACTGTCCAGAATAGAGTCTGTCCCTCATTGTTTAATTTTAATAAAATAATAAGTTTAACACAAATGAGCCATTCCCTACTTAATAAAGTTTTTTTTTTTTTAATTCACGAATATGTGTGATTTGCACTGGGTAATATCTCGATACACAATACAAACTAAATGAAAATTCATGCTCTTCTGTACTACTTCTCAGGAAAGTCCTTCTTTTATCCACTTAAATGCTAATCATTAACAAGCAGTTCAAACTAGACAAAATACTCAGAAAGCTGTTATCAAAGTCCTGAACATTCACAAGCCTGTGCTTTTCCCCTCTTCTTCCCTTCTGTTCATGTGCGCAGAGACGTCCAGAACGCAGCAGCTAATTCACCTGTCAGCTGCAGGGTCAGATGAGCATGCTAACAGATCACAACTACAACTGAGATCTCAAGTGGCAAAAGCTGTGTATTTAGAGAGACATTCAAATGAAACCATATCAACACGAGAGGAGGGGCTCAGAAGGAGGTACAGAGGCTGAGAGAAAGGCAGACAGACAGAGAGAGAGAGATTTCCTGCGGTCCTAATCTCAGTGTTTCAGTGCTTCATAACCCTCCTCCCTCTCTTTCTCTCTCTCTGCTTTATTTTCTGCCTCTGGGTGGAGTCTGATCTGGTTCTCAGTCCCACCTTGTATTTTTTTTTCTCGTGTTGACCTTTGCTGATCTGCACTCAAAATTCTTCTTACCAACATGTGCATGTACATTTGTCACACATCAATTTTCTTAATCTTAATTGTTCAGTCTTTTTAAGCAAGATCAATTATTTGAGATGCAGCATTGTATAATAACATATTTATAACACATTTGGAATTAATTGGCCATAATTTGTTAGTGCAAACTTAATTACTTTCAAGTCAAGTCACCTTTATTAATGTAGCACTTTATACAATACAGATTGTTTCAAAGCAGCTTCACAGTAATAAACAGGAATACAACAATGCATTTGATCATTTTGGAAAACATTATGGGGAGATTACGTTTGAATGTTCTTGGAACATTCTGAAATAAGTAGTCATATTTAAAGGAACACTCCACTATTTTTGAAAATAGGCTCATTTTCCAACTCCCCTAGAGTTAAACAGTTGAGTTTTACCGTTTTCGAATCCATTCAGCCGATCTCCGGGTCTGGCGGTAGCACTTTTAGCTGCAGCTTAGCATAGATCATTGAATCTGATTAGACCGTTAGCATCTCGCTCAAAATTAACTGATCTCCAAACCATGCAGCAGAGGCAACAGGAACAGGAAGTCACAATGTAAAATAGTTCGGTTTTATAATCCACTGTGAAGAAATGGCAACTCCAGATCTTTTTAAATAATAATACCACACCTTTTCTCAACAAGCTGCGTGATTTGAGGGATCACTCATGTTTGTTACATCCCAGCCTAGTTTCCCCAGCAGTTGTTTTCGGTCTTTCCCTCTTCTGGTACATTTTGGGATGCACAACCCACTAATGGCTAAATGATGTGGGTTTGACTAATTAGTGAGGCAGGTATTACAGCTAGGGCTCACATTCATTGCACACTACAAATAGGCTTGATAAGTTGTGCGTTAAATGCTAACAGTCTTACAGTTCTACTTATAGTATAGTTTAGATACCTTACCTGTAAATATGCGAAATAGTCATGCTTGCCTTAGTAATCTTTTCCAAAGTACAACAGACCACTCAAGATCACTCACTACAATAGCATGTTTGCTAATAGTTTGTGAGCTAATCTCAACAACATCGGAGGCTAAAGACCAGCATGCAGTTCACATGACCCCACTTCACCTTTGTCACTTAAGTCTTTTTCACATCAAAGCTGGCAGAGAAGAAGGAACATTAGGGATGTTAAAAGGGGAGGAACACAGCAATTGAAATTCCTTTGTGAGCAGCACAAAGGCCTTTGACAAACAGTTCACTTGTAATATGTAGTGGATATTAAAGCGCTCTACTACCAGTTCATGAACTCCTGACACAATCCTGCCTTCCTAACCTGCATATTTATTGGAGATAGGCTAATGCTATTTTGATCCCATTAGAGGAAAGTCCATAACAGACTTCCAAGACAGCCCTTATCATAAAAATAGTGGTTCAGTGCATATGTTCTCATACAACTTGTGTTACTTCATAGTTTTGATGACTTCCCTGAAGATGTGACCAAATTGTCCACCTCAGTTTGATATTTGACAAACTATTTTAAAAGTTACATCTTTAATTTTTCACATTTTTGATGGCCAGATTGTAACCCCCCCCCCAAAAAAAAAGTTTACATTTATACTTTTAATGGCCAAATTGTTGCCCCCCAATATTTGATGTTTGACAATATATGACAAGAAGTTATGAAAGATCCATTGATGGCCAAATTGTTTTCCCCAATATTTAAAATTCTACAATATTTTAATAATTTTCGACAATATTTTGGGTTAGAAATATAGGGTATCATGTATGTGATTCATGTAATTCATAACTGAATGCAACAAGACACGAAGCATTTCTCCATTTAGAAAATATTAGGCATAGAAAATATTATTTGCAAACAATTATTTTTGATAAAAAAAAATCGTATTCTTGTTATTTTACTGTTCTTCTTTCATTTTCTTTACATGCCTAAATCCTTTAATTAATTCCTTTAATTAAAAAGACCTTTGAAGTCTTTTTAATATAAAAAACAACCCCCCAAAAAGAAAAAAAAAATCAAATGTAAACAAGTCAGACGGCTCATTACAAATTAACCAGTGTTCTGTTGGTTGATACAGGTCAGTCTTGACGTCAGTCTCAGGGTTGCGTGAACTACAAACTGGACTCTAGTGAACCTGTTGCAGATGAAATTGTTCAAGAATGGTTTGACGCATGGTGGAGTGAGGAGGGAGTGAATGAGAGAGGTGTGTGTCATATTAGTTCTTCTTTGAAAGCTGTTGTGGTCTCACGTCTGACCCTGAGGCTGAGCTGTGCTTTGAGCTCCATTTATGTTTCATTATCAGCACTGTGTGTGAAGTATCAGACATGTTTAGACAGGGAAACTCATCAGCAGGGTTTGTGTTCTCATTGATGAGATTCCAGAAGAGATGGACACAGTCTTCTTCTTATGAATTTGATATGTTCAGTGAGTCTGATTACAAGTTACAAGTCTGTTTTGATAGGATTGTGGACAGAAGAGATAAAACATAAATAATAAATATAGCCGTCAATACAGTAGTTATAGCAAAATATTGGCAAAATTAAGAAAATGCTTCTAATGCACAATTTTGATAGTGTTGGGTCTCCACTTGATGCTTGATGTAAAATCTGGTTGATGAAAGTTGAGAATTGTGTGTGTGTGAGCTGATCAGAGGCATAGCTGGTTTGTCAGCAATGACAGCAAACTCATCATATTTGACATTCAATTACAGTAATGTGTGGGAGGTGATCACCGTACAGAAGAACAGCTCTCATAGCGCTGTCAATAAAGACAACCTGCGGTCTGTAGTATGCAGATGGTGAATCAGATACACATGGAAGCAGCTGTCCTATAATGAGCCCCATCAGTTGATATGCCAATAAGAAAAACAAGAGCTAATCCAGCCTCTGATGCGGTCAGATTCTGCAAATCCTGATTGAGCTTTGCCAAATCAAACACGTTTGATATCTACCTCTAGTTCACTGGAAAGTTGTTACCTGAACACGTGCATCACCATATGTTTTGGGGTCAATATTTTTTCTTTTCTATTATTTATTAATTTTAATAATATAATAATAGTTAATAGTTTTATTCAGCAAAGTCGCATTGATAAAAACAAGTGACAGTAAAGACATTTATAATTTTTCTAAAGATTTCATATAAAAGTCTTCGGTTTTCTTTTGGAAAATTGTTTTATATATATATATAGAGAGAGAGAGAGAGAGTTGTTTTTAACAAGGATCATGTGTGACACTGAAGACTGGAGTAATGATGGTGAAAATTCAGCTTGCATCACAGGAATAAATTACAATTTAAAATATACTAAAATACAAAATCATATTTTAAATTGTAAAAATATTTCATATGATTGTGTTTACTGTATTTTTGATTAAATAAAAACAGCCTTGGTGAGCATTCTTCCAAAAACAATTAAAAAAATCTTACAAGCCTTTGAATAGTAGTGTATTTAAAAATAAATTCTACATGGCAAGTCAAATGAGTTTTGTTTTTATGTCAAAGCAAACTAAACTGAAATTATTAAATAAGGAATTTTCCTAATTGGCAGCTTACTCCACTCTACACTACTACAGAATTATCTTGTATGAATTAATCAACACTGCAATCTTTTCCCCACATATTAGACACATTTGCCTTGTGTGCAGAATTTTTTTCCCCCATCTGTGCTGGAGCAACATCAGAAGTGTACGGGAAGCAATTACGGATTTGTACGCATTAATATAAAAACAACTGAAGGGGTTCATAAATCACAAACATTTATTGATTTTATTGGCTTAACAATCCTTGAGAACAGATGAAAGGCAAAAAATCAAATACAGAATTTAAAGATTTTTTTAATTAGCATAATGGTGTAAATCAAACTTTCTGCCGAGGCTGGACCATTCCAGCTTACTACTACTGAATCTAAAAACCTCCATAAAAGCAAAAAGTGAAATTGAAGAAAACCACTGACCTATCTGTGCATTACCAAATTTCAAAACATTTTCATATTAAATATAATCAAATGTTTTTTTTATCAGAACATATATTGAAGTTGCATCCATAGGCATGATCTTTTTTTCTTATTCCTAAAGTATCATTAATATAATCTGTTCATAAAAAAAGTTGAAGCAAGTATGTGATAGTCTCAGTCACTGCCTCACGATGCATTTTATTAGAATGAGGCATTAAAGCATGCATCAGCATACTGTCAGTAAACCAAAGCTGCATTCCGTTGCTTAACACATGGATCTATGGACAGGTAACCGGCATGACAAAGAAACCGGCAGCCCAAAACGGCTGTGAATAACTGTTTAGTGTACTTATTCAGTGACTGATAGCTTGGCTCTCTTTTAGAACACTGTCCGGTGAATGTATAACGTTTTGCCTTTTTCTTCAAAACCCATTTGTCCAACACATCCACCCAAACACAGGAGGGGAGGACTGGGGAGAGAATATGAAAGCCTGGATGGG